ACACACACACACACACACACACACACACGGACGGTAGAAGCAAGCGGGATGGAGCTGGGGAAAGTTTGGCACTAGGTGCTGAGCAGCGGCGGCGGTGGCGGTGGCGGCGGCGGCGGCGACAGCGGCGGCGACGCGGTGGTCCGGGTGGGCGGCGGGGTCGCCGAGAGCCCGGGCTCTGTAGCCTCCTTACCTCAGTGTTCTCGGCAGCGTTCTCCGCCATTTTCCTCCTTAGGAGCAGGCAGCGGGAGGAGTGTTTCATGCCCATAAGAGCCAGGAAGGGTTTGGTGATACAGAGATAGTAGAGAAAGAGAGAGAGCTGGTGTAGCTTTAAAAGAGAGAGCCAGAGAATGGGAGGAAAAAAAGAAAAGAAACAGCCCCTCTGCTGGAGCGTCAGCCGATACAATCAACCACGGTGGAGTCTTTTCTGCAGTCTCCACTTTGTTTTATTTTCCTCCCTTCTCATCTGCTTCGGATTCCTTCACACAGTTTCAAGTTCTTCTCGCGCACCCGAGCCCCTCCCCACCCCTCTCCACCCGCGCTGCGGGCTCGGCAGGAGGGAGGCAGCCCCGAAGGCTCCGCGGCGGCGGCGGCGGCGGCTCCTCTCCCGGCTGCTGGCAAAGTCCGGCCGGCCGGAGGCAGCCACCAACTCCTCTCAACTTCTGTCGATCGGCTGGGCGAAGCAACACGCTTCCTGCGCGTCTCTCCCAGGGGCTGAGCGGGGTGAGTGGGGGCGGGGGAGGAGGTTCGGTGGAGCAGGCGGCGGCTGGGCGCAGATCGAGGGCCCCCAGCGCCCCCGGGCCCGCCCCCTCCCCAGGCTCCCAGGGTCTCTCCGCTGCCTCCACTCCTGGGCGCTGCGCACAACTTGCGCGGGGGCAAGGGCTGCGCGGACGCTGCAGGGCCGCGCGAGAGGCTCAGAGAAAGCAGGCTCCCCGGAGCAGGGCTCTTGCAGGTTCTCAGACTCGGCTCGCTTCCTCCCAATGAGGGCAAGCTCCGGGCAAGACTGGGCCACAGTTACCTCGCCCGCACCCCACCCCACCCCACCCCCAGCACTCGTGCTCCTCTGCCAATTCCTGGATGCTTCCTTAGCTAATTACGGTTTGGGGAACGAAGGAGTGGGTGTCTGGATGGGGGAGGGTCCTTAACTCCTTCAACACTGGGGCTCAGCTTGGTGTCATTACCTAGTCTTTTCTCCCATTCTCCCTGTCCAAGGCACTTGGGGCTCCTAGACCCTCTAGGGCAGGCAGGGTTGAATGAAGGTGGCAATTATAAGTGGTTTGGGAAAGAGGGTAGCTGTCATGCTCCCCCTACCCCAGTCTTTCCTGGCAGCCCCCTGCCCACACATTTCTCTTCTTTCTCCTCACCCATCCCCCACCATCACCAGATTTTGAAGTCCCTTTTATGGGAGAGAGGGAGGATGTCACGTACCCATTAGGATTCTCTTGATCCTTTTTTAAGGGAGTTTGGGCGGCAGCAGGGGGTGTGAATTTTTATACAATGCATTCCTGTCTTCACTTTGAGAGCTTCTTTTTCTCTTGTCTTACTGGCCATCTGTCAGGCGGTTGGAAACAGAACAATGGGGGAGGGGGACCCATTCTTCCCCTCAGTTGCAACAGGACACTCAGGCTGACTCCTTGAAAGACAGCTGCACTTTAAAGCTTTCAGCCCACAAGTCAAGGGCAGGGAGCTCAAAGACCACCGTGAGCATCCTGGCTCTCTTCTCTTCATGGGTGTCTTCATTTGGGGAGATCTGCTCTGAATGCCCTATTTACTTTTATCATCACCTTTGATGGCCAGAAGTGTAAGCCTGACTGTCCTCAACTAACCTCGAGGTCCACTGAAGTAAAAGGGCTAGGGCCATGCTGGGCAGTAAAGGTACCCGCATCACCTGGTCCTCAGGCAAAGAGAGAAGACAAAGCAGTAAGTGGAGGTGAGAAGTAAGGATGAAGAATGAGAAGGATGAACACACAGAGAGACTTGAAGTTAATGGGAGTACAGAGTGTGTATGTGTGTGTGTGTGTGTGTGTGTGAAAGAGTAAATTGAAATGAATGAATTTAACCTCCTTAACCTTTTACTTTCTCAGACCACAGACCTGGATTAGAGTTCTTAGCAACACACCTGGTCATTCTCTTTCCTTCTACACTCTACTATCATGCAGAAGCAGTAGAGGAAGAAATGCAGTGAGTCTAAATCTTTTGCCCTAACCTCTGTTTCTCTAAGCATCTTCTTGGATATTAAAGATCCTGGGAGACACCCTACCAAAAACATCTCAGTACTTGTAAAATCAAAGAAAATCCAAAAAGGAAGGATCCCCACAGCTCATTGGTCCAGTGACAGATAAGGGACCTGAGATCAGAGAGAGGAGGACTTTGTCTAGTCCTTCAGCAAGAGGACCAAGCATCTGAGACCAGCTGTCCAGCCTCCCGACTTTCAGTTCAACACTCTGCCCCCACCCCACACTCCTTCTGCTTGTGCATCCATTCTGTGACTAACCAGGGAGGAGGGGAGCTGAAACAAGCTCCCACCGAAATAGGCTGCTGCCTGTGCGTGATTATGTTGCTATGAGAACCTCAGTGGGTGTGTTTCCTCCGTTCTCTGTTGAAATCTTTTGCTTGGCTTGGCTTCTCCCCAAGCACAGACACAGCTCCCCTTGGAATAGGGAGTGGAGAGGCTGAGATGGAGAGCTGTATTTTCATGGTGAGATTTTTATGGGTCCTTGAGTAAGGATCCCAGGCCAGGAGAGTGGTTCCACAGTGCCTCCAAGGAGATGTGAATGAACTCTCTCAGGAATGGATCCTCCAGCCCCCCTGCTGAGCAACCTTGGAACACTGCATGCAGCCATCTCATTACAAATTCACAAGCCAAATCATGATTACTTTAAGAGACTGAGTCTGTGGTGATTTGTTATACAACAAGAGATTACCTGAAACACCTACCTCCTAGAGCTGTGAAAATCCATGATGCATGAAAAAATGCCTGGCACATAGTAGGAATTTTATGGAGCGTTTTCTCACCATCCCTACCATTTATATGATCCCAGTCTTTCTTCATCTCTTTTGCATCAATAGCTATCATATTCTTTTATTACTTTAATTAGTGGAATCATTCCACACAGAACTAACTTAACTCAGTATCTCATATACCTAGCTCAGGAATGGACCCTAGGCTTGACACAAGGTAACAAAAGACAGGAACTATTAATGAGTTCTTAATTTAGTTACCTCAACTGCTTTGAAAAATACAGAACTTTTGAAGAGATTTTGATAAGAAAACCTATGAGATGATAAAGGGGTACAGAGAGTTCACCAGGGTGTGAGTTAAATGGATATTGTGGAACAATAAAACCAGATAAAGCAGTTCTGGAGGTACATTTTGCTTATGGCATTTTTCATACAGTAGCCCTTCAATAAAGCAAAATGCTTAGAACAACACTCATCTAATGGTAAGAACACAAATATTTTGTTAACATCCACTAAGCTTTGTCTTGGCTCATAAGTTAAACTTTGAAGAGTATTTACTACATGCCATGGACTCTTCCAGATTTATCTGGGTTTTTCTGTAGTCCTTTCAACAACTTTTTCAGATACTATCATTATTCCTATAAAACAGATATGAGAGAGAGAGAGAAGAGAAGAGAAGAGAGAATGAATTGCCCATAGGGTAGAATCAGAATCCACATCCAGGGTGCCTGTTTCCCATAGCCCCATAGCATGCCTCCCAAGAAGTTAACCAAGTTCAGAGGACAAGACAGTTGTTCTCAACCTTGGCTGCATAGCGGAATCCTCTAGGGAGCTTTAAGGGGAAAAAAATGCTTTGGTGCCTCCCCCGTGACTAATTTAGTGAGGTCTGCATATCAAGGCTTTTTAAAGACCCTGATTCTAATGAACAGTCCTGGTTGAGGACAAGTGGTTAAGTATATTTGAAGATAAAATGAACTACAGAGGCAGAAGGTCTCTACAGTACAAAAGGTGCTCTCCAAAAACCACAAGAACCCACACACTGTGGAAAGGTCTGTCTCAAATGCAGGTTCCTGAGAGCCATGAAGTAGAGCCACATTGCACTGATGGTTAATCTGGTCTGCAAAGGCTGGAATTAGGTTCTTGGGGAGAACTGGAACTGGAAAAGGTATCCAGCTCTATAAGATGCCATAGTGGAAGTGCTTCCTGTCACTGGAAGGATTCCATTGGACTAGTTATTTGGCAAAGCAAGGCCTCTGGGGTACTACCTGCCCAGGGCTGGATACCCCATATTTCTCTCACCTCTAACTAAGCCTGTGCTGGGACCTCTGGAAGATGAAGACTGTAATAGCTCAACTCTAGGGGTCAACCAAACTTCCTTTGTTGTTGTCCCAAATCCAGTAACCCAGAGTCAGGATGCAGACCAGGCTGCCTGGGAAGGCGCAGTCTCTGGGTCCTGTTCCAAAGTGGTTGCTGCTACAAGGGGAGATATATAAGACATGTCATGTGGTTTCCTCCTCCCTCTCCTCACACGTGGCAAGGGCTCACATATGGCCACGGCACACTGCAGCGAATCCATGCCTCCTCAAGAATCAGGCCAGAGCTGTTATCCATCACACCTCATGGCAGCTAACCCAGCAGTGTGCTGAGTTTCTTCCAGGCCAGATGGGAGCCTCGCCAAGGCTGCAGCAGCCAGCTACCTGGCTAAGCTTTCAGGCAGCCCCACACCTGGGTAGTTCTCCTGCACAAAAGCATCTGCAGCCCTATTTCTCCCTAACACAAGGCCCAATGTTTCTTAAACTATATTCCAAAATTCAATTTGCAAGAGTACCACCAGTGCCTGCAAAGAAATTTAAGTTTATTTTTCTTTTTCTCTCTCCTTTTTTTTTTTTTGCCATTAAAACCAGAATGTTATTTCTTCCTTGCTCTGATAATGTCTGATTAAATCAATTCATTGTGGCTTTGTGCTGCATATGACACTATTCAGTTTGTTTATTTAATAATATTTGGAAGGCATTTTGTTAGTTCTGTACCCATAGGGTAATCCTTGGTGTTCTATGCTTCTGAAAAGTCAAATGCTCTAGAGCTACTTACCTTTGGCTCAGGGTGAGAAGGACCCAAAAAAGCATCCATTTTTCTCAATGGCCTATGATTGCACCCAAACATCTTTGGAGAAGGGGGACGAGGAATACAGTAGCAGATCCTTAAAGGTACTAAAATATTCTAAAATGCTGTCACAACAGAATTCGATTTTCCTACTTGGTGGGGGTTGTACACTCCTATCCTCCTTTTCAAATATTTCATAAAGGTTTGCCTCTTTATGGAAAAATCTCTCTCAAATCAAAGCCAGCTGGAAGTTAGTCAGTCTACCCAGTGCAATATCTCCATACATATTTGTTTCTATGATTCCTTACATAGCTATGACTATGGGCCACGCATGTGCTCAGCAATCTGGACTCAAAAGATAAAAAAGATGCATCTCTTCCCTGGTGACACTTGTCTTCTGGGAAGAGTTGGTCAAATGGCAAACTATCTGTACTGTAATATTATCAAGGGTCTTATTATTGGTTCCTAAAGGTCAAATCAGTGGCTTATGGTCATGTAGGCCCTGCAAGAATTATTTCGTGACATGAACAGGAAACTCTGGAGACTCTAGGGCCTGCACCAGAGCATGGTAAGCTCCCTTCAACTATGGCTTGGGGTGCATTATTTAATCAAAGCACCAA